TCACCCCCTTGGATTTGGCCGGTTTCGTTTTTTTGGGGGGGGGGCCAAGACTGGACTCTTTCCCACCCTTTTGACGCCTCGCGGGGTTTTGGCCATTTGTTGCGTTCTTTTCGCTGGTTCCGGGCGGGGAAGGTGATTGAAGTTTTTGTTGGTGTTTCATTATACCTTGTTATTAGCCCAAGGGAGCCCCTTTTTGGCTTATTTTGGGGGGGAAGTTAGGGGGGAATACCCCCTGGGGAGACCCACTTGGAATTCCGGTCGGGGGTGTTTTTTTGGACCCGGGTTTTCGGGCCGGTTTGTTGGAGGATCCAGGGAAACTTCTTGGGTTGGGGGGGTTGGGGGGTTGGGGCCAGGGGGGCGCGTTCGGGTTTCGCAGAGGGGGGGGGGTTCGGGTTGGGACGCATAGCGTTGAGGAAAAAGTGGGCCAATTAGGGGAGGGAGGATGGGTTCGCCCGGGTTGTTTAAAGTTTCGGGTTTTTTTCCCTGGGCCGGTTTCTTTTGTGTGGGGAGATGGCCGGGGGGGGGGGGGGGGGCTCAGGCGGGGTGTGTGTACATATGTGAAGCAGATCCAAGAGGGGATTGGTCGGGCGCGCGAACAAGCATACGGGTAGGCGCAAGTGTTTCACGGCGTGGACATAGTGGAGGCGCCGGGTTGTCGGAGCGCGGGAGCGAGTGAGTCTGTCGTGGTCATGGCGCAGTGGTTCGTGGATTGGGGGAGCGGAGGTTGGGAGGTTGGGAGTTGAGGGCGAAAGTGAGTGAGATGTGACGCCGACGTTGGGCTACCTGGACATGGGTTGGGAAAGCGCGCACGGGGTCACAGCCACAGCCACAGCCACAGCCACAAGCCACAGCCTTGTTTCAGCCTGCTGACATGCGATGTCTCTTCTGACGACTCACTGAGAAATCAACTCGTCGGTTATTGATAGACAGGGGGCTACATAGTCAGACATGTACATTCATCTTCGCACATATCATGTCTCTGGTCTCCATCCGATCGTGGCTCGTGAATCGTCAGCTCTCTGGGCCTCCCTTTCAGTAACTCTCCACCTCGACCTTGGCACTGCCCATATCCGGTAGCCACCCCTTCGGCCTCTCACTCCCCCGAACCGTCACCCCATAGAGCGCCTTCTCCACCTTATCCACACACTCCCTCATAACCGGCATCTTCTTCGTCTCCAGCTCGTGCGCAAACTTGGATCCTCCCGGTGCCTCAAACATCTCCAATTGGAGGCGGATCGCACGAAGGTCGTCTAGCACCGTGCACGCCTTCTGCTGTGTCGACGGTATTGATGATGGATCCTGCTCATCAACATCCATCATATCGCCAGAAATTTCCTCTCCACTGCTGACCTCCCGCTTGACACGTTTGTGGGAGTTGACATTGCCTGATGGCAGTTTGCCGCTGACAGCCATGCTCGTGACACTGAAACGCATCAACTCACCCGTCATATCGCAGATGCCCAGGATATAATCCTCGGGCGTTAAAGAAACTGTACTCTCTGTATCTCCTGAATCCCCGCCACTAAAACTTGCAATCTTGCTCTTGGCTTCTTCATATGTAATGAGCGCTTGCGTCTCCAGATAATGCTGGAAACTCAGCGCTTCCATGAACTCCTGGTTGCCGCCGGTGATCTGGTAAGAGTAGCGATGGGCATTGAGGCCTTGGAGATCAGCCGTGATGGACTTGTACTGTTTCTCAATCGTTTCCCAGTACGGGGCGTTGGACTTTGTGACAAAGGCGGGGAGTGGTTGACCGACTGTTCGAACCCTACGCTGCCTGTCAGAATTGGTACTTTTGCAAAGAGAAATTCGTGTTACAAGCAGACCTTTGGAGTGTGAAGATGCTGTAGAATCATTAGCTGTTGCACCATACACATTTATAGGGAATACAATACATCTTCTTACTCGACGCAGTGATGTCGCGCGACGCTTTGATGATTCTCTCTCGCCGATCGTGATGCTGATCCAGCTCTGCACGGAACCCTTCAAACATGGCCACAAATGGCGACGGCGTCGACTGCGCAGGTTGCCCGTCCGCCATGGCTCCTTCTCTTGCTCGTTTAAGTCCCATGGATACAACTTGGAGACTTTGTACAAAGTACTTTCTTCATGGTAGAGCAAACAGCGCGAATTGAGCTAGCGCGTGCTCACGTGGTAATACCGGTAGCGCTAGTCTGTTTGAGGACTAACAGGCCAGCGGTATTCTAGCATCCGTCTGTCTTTCGAAAAGGACATCAACCATCAACACGTGAAGCTTCAAGTCTTCATCAAACTGCCCTCAACAAAATGTCCTAGCATTTCATTCCCTGTCTTTTCTGTTGTCAGCATAGCCACACATCCCCGTTATAGACTACCCTCCCCATTCCCCAGCCATGGCCCTATCCACCTTCTTCCGCAGTCCCCCTCTAGTCTTCACAAGTTCCATCATCCTGCGCGCAATTTTCCTCTTTTACGGCCTCTGGCAAGATGCCAATTCCCCCATGAAATACACAGACATTGACTACTACGTCTTCACCGACGCCGCGCGCTTCATCTCACGTGGCCAGTCCCCCTACGCACGGGATACCTACCGCTACACACCCCTCTTAGCCTGGCTCATCTACCCGACCGTCTGGCCAGGGAAACTCTGGTTCTCGTTCGGCAAGGTATTGTTTGCGGTTGGGGATGTGGGGGCCGGCTGGATGATGTATCGGATTTTAAAGAGGGATAGGGGCATGGGGACCGAGAGGGCGTTGAAGTTTGCGAGTATTTGGCTGCTGAACCCCATGGTGGCCACAATTAGTACGAGGGGGAGTAGTGAGGGGTTGCTGGGCGTGTTTGTAACGGCGTTGCTTTGGGCGGTGTTGGCGAGAAGGGTGGTGGTCGCGGGAATGTTGTTGGGGTTTGCGGTGCATTTCAAGATTTATCCGTTCATCTATGCGGCGAGTATTATGTGGTGGTTGGACGAAACAAAGATTGGAAAGAACAAGAAAAAGAAGAACCAGTCCGAAGCAAAAGACCAAACCAACACATCACCCATCTCCCAGCTCATCCGCTTCCTCAACCCTCAGAGAATCACCCTCGCAATATCCAGCCTCACCACCTTCATCGCCCTCAACATCGCCATGTACGCCGCATATGGCTACCCCTTTCTAGACCACAGCTACTTCTACCACCTCATCCGCATCGACCACCGCCACAACTTCTCACCTTACAACACCCTCCTCTACCTCAACTCCTCACCCAAACCCGCCTCCTCACCCACCTCCTCCACCCTCGAACTCGAACGCCTAGCCTTCCTCCCCCAACTCCTCTTAAGCGCAATCTTCATCCCCCTCGCCCTCTCCAAAAAAGACCTCCCAAGCACCATGCTCGCCCAGACTTTTGCCTTTGTCGCTTTTAATAAAGTCTGTACTAGTCAGGTACGCACTGATCCTTCCTACTCCCCTCGACTCAACACCCAGACCCAACCCCACATCAGAACCCCCAAGAATACCCAACTAACACAAACCACAATCAAAGTATTTCCTATGGTACATGATGTTCCTCCCTTACTACCTCCCCACCTCCACCCTCCTCCGCTCCCCCCGCATCGGCCTCACTGCTCTCACGCTCTGGATCCTGGGCCAGGTTGCATGGCTGCAACAAGGCTTCCAGCTCGAATTCAACGGCCGTTCTACATTTGTACCCGGTTTGTTTCTCTCGGGTCTGTTTTTCTTCCTGGTGAATGTGGGGATTCTAGGGGTTATTATTGCGGATACGAAAGGTATGGCGGGGAGGGGAGGGGCCGCGGTGGGGAAGAAGAGGGTGTAGTCGGAATGGGGAGGGGAAAGGTGTGCATGGTGTGTTTTTTAATGCGAGTCGGGGAATTCGTTGCGAATATGTGTGGAGAAGACAGGATGTTGGGGCACATTACTGGTTTTGATGGGAGATTGTGCCGGAAAGAATTGCATTGGTAAGTAAGTGAAGGAGCGGGAATCTACAACTCATTCGCCTCCCCCCTCAACAGCCGTCCAAAAGCCCCTCCCTTCTTTCTCTTCAACTCCTTGAAACTCCCCTGCTCCACCACCCTCCCCTTATCCAACATGACAATATGCTCAGCAATCGCCATCATCTCTCTAGCATGCGTGATAATAATCACCGTCATCTTCCGGCCCCTAGCCTCATCCATCTCACTCCCTACCATCCCACGCCCAACCTCCCATTCCTTATCGCCCCAGAACCCGCCCGTCCTTGACCTGGGCGAGAACTCCCCATCCTTGTTCACAGCAGCACCATCCTTTCCCTTCCTTACAAGTGCCAATATACTATCCCTCACGATCCCCGCACTCGCAACATCCAACGCACTAGTCGCCTCATCCAAAATCAATACATCCGGCTTCCTCACCAAAGCCCTCGCAATCGCCAATCGCTGCGCCTGTCCCCCGCTCAGCCCCGTCCCACCATCCCCAATAACAGTGTCATAGCCCTGTGGTAAACTTTCAATGAACTCTGCCACGCCCGATGCCTGTGCCGCAGCACGGATACTGTCGAGACTGGTGAGAGGCGACGAGGGCGAGAGCCCGTAGGTGATGTTTGCAGCGATGCTGGCGGGGAAGAGTACTGGGGATTGAGAAACGATTGCCATTCTGGCACGGAGGGATGTTATGTTTAGGGTTTTGATCTCGATGTTTGAGATGAGAAGACTGGATTGCTGGGCATCGATGGTAGTATAATGGTGGTTTAGCGGGGGAAGACTAGTCGAGTCGGCTTGGTAGAGTTTGAGTAGGAGGGCAGCGATTGTGGATTTTCCCGAGCCAGAGGAGCCGACGATAGCGGTGCAGGTTCCGTGGGTGATGTCAAAGGATACGTTGTGTAGGACTTGCACGTCTTTGCGCGTCGGGTAGGTGAAGTTTACATTGCGGAAGGATATGTCGCCTGCGGTGCTGATTTTCGTTGTTCCGCTGAGTTCGTGGGATGTGGTTGGGAGGCGGGCAAGACGCAGAAGTCGGGAGCCTGCGTCACGCGACATGTTGACTTGTGTCATGTAATGGGCCATGAAATTAACATGGTTGACGCTGAGCATGAGTACGAGAAAAGTCTCAATGATGCTCTTTACGCTGTACTCGTCCCTGCTGATGAGGAGCCCGCCATACCAGAACAATAGTATGGCTACGAAGATGACCCCCGCGAAGTTGAGGCCAAAGACCGATCCCGAATAGATCGCACGTTTGATTCCGATGTTAATTGCCGCAGTCGTAGCATCTGTGTACTTCTTCCTGAAATGCGATTCAAGAACCAGACAACGAACAGTGCGAATGTTCACAAATGTCTCGTGCAGAACCGCGCCGACACGTTCATCAGCGTCTGAGGAGAAGCGTTCCCAGCGGCTGGAAATCGCATTGTAGCCTTGTGTGATACCGTAGAGTATCGGTGCCATGGACAACGCAACGAGGGCCAGTTTCCAACTCGTCACCAAACTCCAGATGATAGAAATAGCAATCATGATGAATATGACCGCAAAGATACACGCAAACCGGCCCGGAAGATTCCTCGCTTCCTCTGCAAAGTGGTCCAACGTCTCTGCAATCCTTGATATGCTGTTTTCTTCTCTATCGAAGAATTCGCGCGGTTGCATGAGGATACGTTTCATGGCTTCAGTCTTGAGTGCTAGAGCCCAAGACTGCGCGACAGAATCGGAGAGGAAGAACAGGAGGTAACTCGCGATACCGTCAACGAAAGCAATTCCAAGAATGACGAGCGCCCATTTCAATGCAGTGTTTGTAGTATTCCCAGGCTCGTAAAAGGTGGAGAGAAGCTGGGCAAAGACCCAAGAGAAGAGGGGTACGGCGGCTGCGTGCAAGACGGCACAGAAGAAGGCACCGAGGAGGAGAATTCGGGGGCGCCAATCTAGAGCTGGCCACACGGATTGGAATATTTCCATGATAGACAGAGACTCAGTTGCGACTGAATTTTGGGTAGCCCCTTTACGACGGGCTAGGTGGCTCTTTAAAAGTGTCTTTGGGTTTTTGGTGTACAGTTTTGGCGGCTTGTCAAGGCGGATGGAATGAGCTTCATAGATGGTCAGTGGACGAGGATAAGCAGAGTATCGAGATACGGGCCGTGAAGTCAAGTCGTCTGAGGCCGTCCAGGGACGATTCATTGACACCCGCCTCATGACAGATGCATTTTGAGAGCCCACAGAGGCCGGCCGTGAGCCATGCCTCCTTGGCATTAAACCGCCTGGCGCAGAAGAAGGAACACCAGGAGGAGGCTTCAGACCAGTTGGGAATTGTGCCATCGAATCTCGGGTTGGAGGATGACTATTCTGAGCAGACTCAACTTGTGTGACTCGCTTCTCCAAGCCAGTCATGCCATTCTCAATATCAGATTCGCGGTTGTGGCCAAGAAATGGTTGAAGCAGAGACTCTCCAAAGAGAAAAGCAGACATAGGTCGACGTGTCGGAGGTGAAATCTCCGCAGCCCATGAATCCGTGTAAAGACCCATGATGTCATCTACATAATCCTCATCTTCAGAATTAAAATCTTCCTCGATCTCCTCTTCTCCTTCACGCTCATCGTGGGTCTCCAGAAAAGATTGAAACGCCCCTGGTCGAGCTTCAAGATCTTTGCGATACCCTTCCTGGACCACCTGTGCGCTGTCTATTAAGTAAACAAAGTCGTCGGACTCAATTTGAGTGATGTCGTGAGTGATGACTATCGTGGTCTTGCCTTTGCGCCATTTCCGTATAGCTTCGAGGATAGAAGCTCTCGTCACGTAGTCGAGGGCGCTGGTCGATTCGTCTAGGATCAGCACGGGAGTGTCACGGACTCTGGCACGCGCCAGAGCCATCCTTTGTTTTTGGCCACCGCTTAGTGCACTACCCTTCATTCCAAGGTGAGTGTCTAGCCCCTCAGGAAGGTCACAGACAACGGAATCCAGCATGGCGAATTTGATCGCCTGATGAACCTCATGCAGATTGATTATCTTTCCTAGGTTACCCAACGCGATGTTGGTGCGGATAGAGTCGTTGAAAAGGACACTATGTTGCTCGACAAGTGTAACCTTTTCTCGAAGCCAGTGGATATCTAGAGCATCGAGCTTGACTCCATCGAGAAGTACACTACCTGAGCAAGGCTGGTAGAATCGAATGAGAAGCTGTCCGAGTGTACTTTTGCCCGAACCACTTTTACCGATGACGAAGGTAGTTTCCCCGGCCGGGAAGAATAGTGAGACATCACGTACGGCGATTTCCTCTGTTCGTGTAGGATATGAAAAAGTGACCTACATACGATCAGCGCAAGACCTCGTAATCGGATCGACCTTGAGTAACTTACTTGACGGAACTCTATGTCACCTAAACACTTCACTGGCTTCAATCGACCCTGCAGTTCCTGGCGCTGATTCCCAACTGAAATCTGCTTCATGAGCAGCCGGAGCCGAGCACCTGCAATTTTTCCCTTCTGCATGACGATAAATTGGGGTAGGAATCCTGTTATGCCTTCGATAGCCATCAGAGCCGCCCAAAATGTTGTGAGAACTTTGGCCGCAGTGCTGTCGCCCTTCTCGACAAGATGACTGCCATACCAGAAGCCCTGCACGAATACACTAAGTGTGAAGAATTGCATAAGACCAATTTGTAAAGAGCGGTAGTTTGCCACGCGATAATAGAGGCTGGCCGCAAGCGATGCAATCTTCGTGAAGATCTTGAGCTCATAAGCTTCACCGTTAAAGCATTTGACAGTCTCAATGCTCTGGATCGCGTTCGTCAAATATTTGAGTGCGTGCTGAAGCTGCTCAGCTTGTTCGTGTACTCTACCCGAAAGTCGATTACCGATAAACACTTGAAAGAGGTAGACCAATGGTATGGTACACATGATGATCAGTGTGAGGTTCCAGGAGTAGTAGAAGGCCACGCCTAAAGCCGCAAGGCTCTGAACAAGACATTGTATGCCCTCACCAAAAGGCGCCGAAACAGATAACTGGAGATCGCGAATGTGCCTAAAAGGATTGTCAGCCCTGTTGCCATGTGTACATCAAGCTGGCGATACTACTCACATCTGGATGGCGGGCAGGAATGCCGCCACACCAGCCTCTCTCGTGTCATACCATGCCATGTCTTTTTCAATGAGCGCCTCAAAAATCCTGTTGCGAGCACTCCTGGCCTGCATCTCGCCGAATGTGAGAAAGAAGAAGAAGTAGAAGCTGTTAGCGATCCAGTTCAGCGTCGCCAGGCCGGTAAGGATGATGCAGTATTTTGTGATGCTACTCATCATCTCGCTGCCACTTATTTGTCCAGCACCATACTCTGTGTATTTTCCGAAGATGAGCCCGTAAACGATTGCGAATATCGGCATCGTAAGGGCCGCGATGAAGGCGCCCAACAGCGCGCCCAGCAGGACTGGGACATGCTTATGAGTGGTGAAGCTGAACAGGGCCTTCCAGCCTATTTTCAAAACATAGTCAGAATCCTCGTCGACCTGAGAAATTGTCTTTTCAGGCCCATCCGTTTCTTTTGCAGACGGGCTACTGGCCATGTTAATTGCTGGTTGAGAGCATCTGTGCAAGAGAAGAAAAGCGCGCACGAAGTAGGACCTGACGAGAAGGCCGACATAAGAGGTGAAAGTGACGATTTCCAAGTTTGCTTTAGTTTCCGTTTGCCATGCGAGCACAATGAGTTGCGTTGAGAAATGGTTTTCTTCGCTTACTTTGTTTGGGCTTGATATTGTTCTCAGCGACCACTAAAGGTATCTGCAAGACAGCCATCCTCTTCATACTACTGCACCTGCAACAGCTGGTTATAGTTGATTCTCATTCTGTCATTCACAAAGGACAATTCGATGCCAGTGGTTTTGAAAGAGTCTTTCTTTCAGCGTTTCCAATAATTTATCCTGGACAGCTATGGCGAGCTCATACCGTCTCTGCTCACTGCCTCTATATTTGGCGGTACTATTGAATTGAAAAATTACACTGTAAAGCAGTCTGGTGCAGGCCATTCCCTTGCAACCGGTTGGAGTCGCGCAGAACTCGACGCAGCATATGAACGCAGGCATAGCGCGACGTTTGGAGGGACTGCCGAAGTCATCGGATGTGCAAAGGGTCATCAAGGGTATCATCGCTTCGTTTTCATTGTCATTTCTATTTGCCTCCAGCTTGAGCTTGCTCGTAGATCCAGTCGTTCAGGCCTTCGCGGTTGCTGCCTTTGTTAGATCTCACTCCACGCTGGCGCATATGGCTGTTGGCTTACCGCGCGATTTCAATTGCATAGAACTGCATGCGCACTGCAAAAATTGTCCCCTCCTGGGTGTAATCGGTCTTGGGACTGGCGCGAACCATTGCGCCAAAATTGTAGTCATCGACTTTCTTCTCGTACTCGTTTATAAAGTTGCGCCATCGCTCCTTACCCTCTTTGCTCTTCATCTCGTCTTCATTGAGCGTGGCCGACGCGTCGAATTCCGGAAAGTCCTTCTTGAGGTGTGCATAGATTTCATCGTCGAATTTGGTAAGGCGAAGCTTCGAGCCTGGGATCTTCTCGAGGATCTTCCAGTAGGTTTCCATGTGCTGAACGACTGCGCGGTTGTGTTAGCTGGCTGGATGTCGCATTTCCGTAAACCACATACCTTTGACAGCGAACTGCTTCTCAATCTAGTAACCATGTCAGTCTGCCGTCCTAGCTATACTGTGAAGTGCGCAACATACGTCCTCGAAGTTCTCCGTCTCCTCAGGGTTGATCTGCCCGATAGGCGAGGCGAGAGACATATTGTAGGCTATATTAATGTGTTTAGGGTATCGCGATCAAGAATCGGTCATGTAACCGTCCAATATATGGGATTTCAGTTCGTAGTGGGTGGGTTATTGGTGTAGCGTGTTGAGCCCGCATCGCATCCGATATAAATTTCATAGGAGGGGGGGCTCGGTCGTCACTGCCCCACTAACCTTCAGCCACAGTGCGGGGCTGACTGAACATTGCAAAGGTTCCATCACAAACTCCAATCTTCTACAAGACGCTCCTACCCGCCAATGTCATTTTTTCTTCATGTGAGTGTGTTCTATACTGACCGCGTTCGAGACTTAGCTAATCTAGTCAAGCATGAATGCACTCGCGTACCAGTAACGGCTGTGGCCTCCTGTGGCACCCTCCTCGTTGCTGCAGAAGGCCCATTCCTCCGTTTTTACGGTGCCAGTGACACTCACTTCATCTCATCGCAACGTGTATTCAAGGCCCAGACGATCCATGGGATTGCGGTCTACTCAGAGCAGCATGATCATGTGACCAGGCTCATAGTCTGGGGTGGCCGATGTGTGCGTGCCCTTGAAGTGAGACCGCACTCATTGGAGCAATCTAGAACCGAGACCTTGACTGTATCTCTATCAGACATGATCTCGGCTCCAGACTGGATAATAGATCTAGCACCGCGCCCAATAAGTCTAGACGAGCTCGAGTATCAAGATGCCATTTTTGCCGCCGTAACAGCTCACAATGCCTTACTGCAGCTGTCAATAGAGTGCAGGCATGGTGATAGAATATCAAGTCGCAGGTAAGTGTCCCAGCTTTAAGTTTTCCCATCCTTTCTTCCAGAAGACTGACGGGTTCGAGCCACTTTACCGTCTCTATCATAGAATTGACTACGAGCACACGATCTATTCTCTATTCAGCCCATCTTTTCTGGGATTCACCAAATACCCTACTTGTCGTTGCTGGTACTGCTTTTGGTGAGATCATGTACTGGTCCTGGAGCCAGGATGGTAGCGATGCACCAGTCTCGCGAACGCACCGCATCTTTACTGGCCATGAAGGTTCAATATTCGGCGTTCGGATTTCTAAAGAACTCCCATCAGAATGCTGCCAGAAATTGAGGCGATTAATTGCAAGCTGTAGTGATGATCGTACCATCCGCATATGGGATGTTTCGGATGTTGTCCCATCTGAGAAGAATGGAAACAGTGATGAGGACTCCGAGGCAACGAGAACAAGGCACACAGGATTCAATAATGAATCTTTTGACGCTAGTCCCTCTACCAATATAGCGTGTCTAGCAATTGGATGGGGTCATACCTCACGCATTTGGGCCGTTCGGTTCCTGGAGACCTCACCTTGTAGCGGGTCATTATATCTCCAGTCCGCCGGAGAGGATGCGACTGCACGTATCTGGGAACTGGTTTCATCAACCTCTCTTGACAGAAGAACAACCTATACGCTGTCACAGGTTGATTGTGCCGCGCATCATAGCGGCAAGAACCTATGGGCTAGCGACGTATCCCGAGACTTGAAAAGTGTGCAATACACGATATGTGGTGGTGCCGACAGCAAAATCACGGCATCTTCATTGCCTCAGAGTGCACAAGCCACCAATTTAAGACCTCGTGTTGCACTTGGAGAGTACACTATCGAAGATGTTCTCACTTTATCTGAGCCCTTTTTCGTGGAGTCGAAACAGGTAGCAACGCAAGACAAACAAAAGTTTTCCAAAAAGACTGAGTTCTTCAGAAGCTATTGCTTCGTTGACACAGACACATTTCTGTTGACGACGAATTCTGGCAAAGTGCTTCTGGCGTCTTTGTCTGAAGAGACAAAAACCGATCCATCAGGCCTCCTAGCTGGATCAACCTGCGTCGCCACTCTGGATGAGCTGGCTGGTTATTCTGTCTGCACTAGTGGCTCAGTGCCTGGATTAGCCTTCATAACAGGCAAAAAGGGTGGCATTTATGTATTTCACAAGGGTACATCGACGCTCAAGAATATCTATGACGCCGCAGGCAAAATTGGAGACATGCTTACCACAGACATGTCCGGAGGAGATGGTGACAAAAGACTGAAGCTACTGGTCATAATTGTGGGCCAGCCTCAAGCCCATCTTTTGTTCTTGGATATTGCATCCGATTCACAGGTGTCTCGTGACATAACGATTCCGATAGACTTCGGCACTGGCTCACTCATTACAAGTATGGAATATGTGACCGTACCTGGGAGAAGTTTCACTTTCTTGGGATTTCGACGCGGCACTATAGCTATCTACGAAAATCACGATAGTGGAATCCAAACGGGAGAAGCAACCATGATGTATGTCATCGAATCGGCACATACGCACGAGACGGTCACCTGTATGAAGTGGGTTTCTTCATCTCTAGATTCATTAATTGGCCATCTTATCTCAACAGGCCGAGATGGACGATTGATCATACACCAGCTCGACCTGTCTGTCAAATCGGTTCAGCTTGTCAGTCGTTTAACAATGCCGATTGGACCAAATATCGAAGGCTTGTATTTCCAAAAGGGCCATTTGATGATCCACGGCTTCTCAAGCAAGAATTGGGTTCTTTACGATGTGACAGCCGAAGAGGAGGTGATGGGAGTTGAGACTGGCGGTGCACATCGGAGCTGGGCTTACCAACCCTCGCCGTCTAGCCATGGAGGAATACTCGTATGGACTAGAGCATCGAGCATGCACATTTGCCGTCAGACCGAGTTGAGTCATGTTGTAATCCGATCTGGTGGGCATGGACGGGAGGTTAAGGCAGTGGCAATCTCAAATAAATGCAGCGACAGGTCGCACAGTCCCCTCATTGCTACCGGTGCTGAGGACACGGATATCAAAATTTTCGAGTACATTAACGGAGGTCTGATTTGCAAGACAACCTTGCGAAAGCATACTACTGGTATCCAGCACTTGCAGTGGTCACACGACGGCCGGTATCTGTTCAGTAGTGGCGGATGCGAAGAGTGTAAGTCTCCCTGGCAAAGGTGCTCTCAAATTTATGCAGATATTACTGCTAATAATTGCGTTAGTCTATATATGGCGGATTTGCGACTTGCCATCAAATCTGGGAGTTGGCATTGTTTGCGAACACGAATATGTCCCAGAAAGTGAACACGCTGATCTCAGAATCATGTCGTTCGACGTCAGATCACGCGGGCCTGTCTATATCATTGCCATGGTCTTCTCCGATTCCAGCACCAAGGTAACGCTGACTCATCCATTCTCAATGTGTGTGTGTTTGCACTAACGATACAAAGCTCTACCAATTCAGTCCCAAATCATCCGTGGGCCTGATCCCTCTTGCTCGAGGCATATACTTCACATCGTGTTTAACACAATGTACATTCTTACCTGATCAAAGTATTCTCACCGTCAGCACGGATGGTCATGCTGTTGTATGGCCTTTACATTGCGAAGGGTCATTGGGCCACGCGAGTACATTGAGCTGGAAGCATCCGACGCGAATACATCAGAACGCTTCCAAAGCTATGGCGACCTACGACGTTGACGAAGGGACAATGCTTATCGTCTCAGGTGGTGATGATGGCAGTCTGGCTCTAATGACTGTATCCAATGTGCAGGACTCGAAGACCCTATTCGCTTCTCCACCGGTCCTTGTTAGCCGTGCGCATGCCTCAGCCCTTACATCATGTGCAATCGTCACATATCCTGTTTTGGGGCGCACATTTATCCTGACATCTGGCACTGATGAATGGGTAAGGCTGTGGGAAGTAAAGCACCTGAAAACGTCGAGTGATGTCAAGACAATGAGCTCAATACCAAACATAGAAGTCATCCGACTGGGAAAGGTCAAGACGAATGTGGCCGATGTATCTAGCATGGCTGTCCTGGACACGTCAGATGAAAGCGCGAGGGTATTACTATGTGGCGTTGGGATGGAAGTAATTCGGTTGGAATGGGATGGGGATAGCTGATGATAAGAAAACACATGGTATCAGCCAGTTCGGTAACTGTCAATATCCTGTGAACGAGATAAGTGGTTGGAAACCCTCAATACGTGGTGTGGGTAAAAGGAAGATCTCTGTGCTCAGCTGGGTGACTAGAAATCTATGTATGATGTGGTCTATTTGTCTTGTGCTTGGTTAATAATGGTTCCTAAAGTGCATAGTTACACCAGATACACAGTCAGGTAGTTCGTAGTTCACAGGAACCCGTGATCACGTGCTGACCAGTGCGCTGTAGGAGCTCCTGCCGCGTTATGGGAGCTCTTGTCGCGCGATACAAGCTCCTGCCGCGTGACAGATGACGCTAGCCTGATGTACACGATAGTTGTCGGGGCAACGCGCTCGCTTACCGGTTCGCGCGCTTTGACAACAATCGTAACCCATCCACATAACTAACTGAGCGTCACCCGATCACCTCCACACCACAACCACCTACGACAAAAACACAACCACCACGAGAAATCGCCATCAGTACTCTCACAAAAGATGGTCGCTACACGCCGCGGGGCGAAAACCGCTCTGGAAGAGGCACCTGCCCCCTCCAACATCCTCAACGCGCCTCCCAAGCGCGGCGGGAAGAAGAAGGCAGATATCGAGGGAGACACCGAAGCCGCGCCTGTCGCCACCAAGGCTACCAAGCGCAAGGCAAAGGCAGAACTCGAAGCCGACGCGCCACCCATGGTGAAGAAGGCCGCCGTCAAGAAGGCCGCAGAACCTGTGCCTGCCGCCAGCAAAACCACAAAGCGCAAGGCAAAGTCAGAGCCTGAAGCTGACGCACCGCCCATGGCGAAGAAGGCAGCTGTCAAGAAGGCGACTAAGCCTGTGTCTGCCGCTACCAAGCGCAAGGCACAAGCAGAGCCGGAAGCCGACGCGCCGCCTATGGCGAAGAAGATGAGTGTCACCGCAAAGATTGCACGCGATGCCAAAGCCGAGATGCCAGCAGAGCTGGCGCCTGCAGCTCTCAAGCGCGCGACCCGAGGTCGCAAGGCCGAGGAGACCGTCGCTGAAGAAGAGCCGGCGCCTGCAGTCGTCAATCGGGCGATAAAGCCTGCGACTACCCGTGCGCGCAAGATCCCAGCGAAAAAGGCCGCCATTGTTGAGGAGCCAGTCGCTGTTGGAGAAGACGTAGTCGAAGAAGTTCCTAAGCCAGCATCGCGCACACGCAGGGCACCTGCAAAAAAGGCTGTTGTCATTGAGGAGGCCGAGCTGGTCAAGCCCGCTGCTCGTACACGCAAAGCAGCAGCTCCCAAGCTGACAGCACCCACACCTGTCCTTGCTCCTGGAGTCACACACGAGGGACATGTTGTCGCTCTCGAACAAGACTCGCCGCTCAAGGCCCCGGCCCGCAAGCCCACAAAGAAGGCTGCCGCTCCCGCCCCCGTGCCATTCATCCCTGCGATACCTGAGGTCGAGCAGATTGAGGAGCCTTTTACCGAGTTCCCCGGCGTCTCCTCCACACCGGGACGCTTCGCCCAAGACTTCACAACGAGACGTGCGATGAGAGAGCTGCCAAATTACCCCAGCACTCCAGCGCACATCTCGGCGCCCATCTCAAGCAAGGCAGCCATGGCTGAGTTGCCCGGGTACCCTCAGACACCAGCTCACATTCAGGCTCCCATGAGCACCAAGGCAGCATTCGCTGAGATGCCCGGCTATCCTAATACGCCTGCTCACATCAAGGTTCCCAGTCCCGCCTTAGAGGTCATGGACGAGATCCATGAAGAGTCCGAAACATCCATCCAGGATGACGGTGCCATGGAAGGTAACGATGAGCACGCTGTCGATACCAGCAACGAGGCTGCTATGAACGAGCTGCCAGATTACCCGACCACCCCAGCACACATTGCCGCGCCCCTCAGTAGCAAAGATGCATTAGAGGCGCTTCCAGACTACCCCATGACACCTGCCCACATCAGGGCCCCATTGGCCAACAAGGATGCTCTTGACGAGTTGCCCGGTTACCCCAAGACTCCCGCACACGTTCAAGTACCTCAGGTTTCAAGCGAGGCGCCAGTAGAGCTTGCCGATGATTCTCACACACCTATCAAGAACACTCCCTCACCTACGGCCGCTGTTACTCAAGAATTGGCTATTGCCGAGTCCACTACCCCTATCGGGATCACTTCACCAGTGCAGCAAGTTATGATCGAAAATTCAACAACCCCTGAGAAGATGGCGTCGACGCCAAAGGCAGGAAACGTCCCTGCAACAGCTGTCGGGGATCCATCTACGCCGACTGAGATCAGCTCCCCCATTACAGAAGGCAACTTCTTATCAGGTACTCCTCGGGTGCCTGAAAACATTACTTGGGGTATCACTGACCAGGAGGCATTCGAAGAGCTTCCTGAAGATTACCCTACCACCCCGGATCATATCAAGGCACCGGTATCTACAAAGGATACATTGGCCGAGCTTCCAGGGTACCCAAAGACTCCAGCCCACATCATTGCACCCATGACCCCTCGTCGCGCTCTAGCTGAGCTACCGAATTACCCCACGACTCCTGCCATGGCCATGGAGGCAGCCATTCAAGAAGAGATATCTGCCTCGGTCAAGAAGCAGACGCCATCGCCGTTGGCCAAAAAGCAGACCCCATTGGCGTTTCCGCAACGTGAAGACAATTCGTTCTCGATTGCTCATGATGATAGCGAGATGACTGATGTGAGCAACATGGACAGCGAGATCCCGGAGACAATGTCGAAATTCTCCATTGCGCCTTTACAGCTCGCCGCAGTCCCCACATTAGCTCCTCCTACCCAGCTTGCCACCACCCTCTCAGCTCAAGAGCCCGCTTCTCCAATTAAATCTGCTCTGCGATCGCCTCAGAAGATGAATTTCAAGACCCCTAAGAAGGCTGTTACTTGGGATGATCCTGAGGAGAACGGGGTGTCACTGCTCAACGAGGGTCCTCTCGGAGGCATGACCTTCCTGGTCGATGTCACCCGTAAAGGCAAGGATCAAGAGTTTCTCTTCCGTCATCTGCTAGAGGACCTCGGTGCCAAGGTCGTTCAGGATTGGGAGAGCGGCACAATTAGCCATGTTATCTATAAGGATGGCAACAACTCCACGCTCCAGAAGATTGTTGCCAGTAACGGCGCCATCAAGTGCGTCAATGTTGGATATGCTTTGGATTGCGAGGCTCAGAGGAGGCGTTTGGATGAGAACCCATATTTGGTCGATCTCTCCATCACTATTCCTGACCCTCCAAAGCCTGTCGCCGCAATGAGAACATACACTCCCATGCGCACACCTTCTCAAAACAAGGTTGCAACTCCCTCCGTTTGCACTAGTTTGCCCGCTACGCCTACCAGCTCAGAGCTGGACCGTTCCATGGTCATTGATGACGACAAGGAGAACAGCGAGATCGGACTCTTTTTCAGATTGGACGATGACTTCAGGGAGATTCGATCGGTGCCTCCGAAGAAGTCAAGGTACCTTTTCGCCAGGTCGCCTATCAAGACCCCTTCGCAGCCGAAGTTCCTGGCGCAAACCCCGATCAAGCCTCAGTCGGTCATGCAGCCTGCTACGGTTGCTGGCAAGAAGCGTTCCATGGAAGAATCTTTCCCCAGTATCCTGTCGGCGTCGCCAAAGAAGCTTCGATTCACCTAGTCGCCTGACCAAAGTATTTGAGATTTGTGCGATATTTGTTTTGGTGGAGTTTGAATACCAGGGATGCATAGATGTGGAGCATAGTAACGGTGTTCACGGTGTACTTGTTTTTGTTATTTTCCCTCTCTTCTACGAACAGTTTGCTACTCACACCCCGCGCTTGTCCGGCGCCCCTTCATCGCGGCTTGAGAGTCCTTGTGCTGAGTGCAGCCTCCCGAAAGGTGATGGCTCCCCATAAGGACTCAACATAGCCAGGTGATAGGGCGTTGGCTCTGGAGCGACGGTGTCAGTTTCAACATGTTCGTTTGTGTTTATATTGTGCGACTCAGTTTTTTGTTTTGGCGTTTGGTTATTTTTGGAACACAACGTGTGCATCATGACGGATGGAAATGGTGTTTTTTGTGTGCATAAAGTTCCTTGCAACTTCATGCGAGCAGATCGGATTGGACTGGCGTTGGTTGGCTTTACAACATTCTCTGTCACGTAGTGTACGAATGACATGATGATCACTACTTCAATCTTTGGTTGCCTCTTGTCCGATGGTTTGCTTTGAATCATGCTTTTGAGTTATATTTGTCACAGGACGGCTGGACTTGAAGTGAGTCCAGCTGGCCGGCCGCTTGTCTACATCGACATTATCTCCTCTTGTCTATATGCAGTTGTCGCAAAGCTCCTCCCAATTATTAGATTGTATAAGACCCACGCTTCCAAATGCATCAACCATCATCAAATCAACAATCCACCGACCCTAGAACGGCACATCCATCCCCTCCACCCCTTCATCCTCCCCCTTTGCCTCCCCCTCCCACAAAACCTCCTTGATAAACCCGACCAACGCATTCACACTCGCCTTCTGCGTACTCGGTAAAAAGTGCCCGCCAGGATGATACACGACATACCTCTCCCCAGATTTCTCACATGCCTCCACAAGCGCGAGACTGCGCTTCTCCTCAACCACAACATCCTGGCTGCCCAGGAAATGCAGGACGGGCGTTTGGATCTTCGGGTCATAGAAGGCGGCGTATGGTGATGCACCCTGGGGCAGGAAACCAGAGTATACAACTGCGAATTTGAGCGGAGGATGGATGGCCGAGACTGTATCTGCTGTGGGGATAAAAGCAGCAGGGAACGGCATTCCACCACTCTCAATCTTCTTCTCAAACGCCTCGCGCCGCCGCGGTTCCAACACTGATGCCAACATCGCCGCCACCGCGCCCCCCTGCGAAAATCCCACCACGCCATCAAATGGCCCGGACTTTCTTAACACAGATGCCAGCGCCTCGAAACAGCCCTCTATCCCATCATACACGTAACCACCCTGGTCCCCCAAACTCTTCCTCTTCCACCACGCCCACGCATCCAATTCCTGCTCTTGGTTCTCTGCACCTCCCGAACCATCCGCAGCCGCGTCCCTGCTTGTACCGGCGAGCCAGCTCTCGTCTGCGGGCGTGAGGCGGATCGGCGCGGTCGGGTAGACCAGCTCGATGCCGGCTGGGAAAGCTTTTTGCAGTGTTTTGCGGAGCGCGCCGGTTTTGGCTTGGAAAAGGGGGCCAGATTGTGTGTAGCCGTGTAGCATGAGGATTTTTATCGGGCGCTTGGGGGGCGGGGCGGCGGCCATCTTGGACCAGTGGGTGCGGGTGTGGAGGTCGAGGGGTTGGAAGCAGAGGCGTGTTTGGGCGAGGAGGCTGGAAGGGCGGATGGGCATGTACGTGTTTCCAAGGCTGAAGAGTGTGGAAGTTGGTGATAGAATGGGTGAGGTTTGAGACGGGTAGGGATTCAGTAAAAAGATTGAAGATGGTCGGTTAGAGTTGTAGGGTGGAGATGAGGTCATGGGTGTTGCGGGGCAGCTTTTGGCGAAGGTGGGCGCAGCTGGAGGGGTCACAATCCGTGCGACGAGAGTACATGCAGCATGTCCATGTGTATATTACATGCGCAGTGCATGCGCAGAGCACTGAATAGCGGCTCTTTCTAGCTAAACTATTCATAACTCTTTCCAGAACCTCGTCAATTCGTCGTGACATCCCTCTATTTTGCCTTGCCCTTGACTGCCTTACTCTTCTCGATCTTGGTAGGTTGAATGCGAGCCATCATCTCCTCTTTGGTGATGAGATGATCAACGCGCTCCAAGAGACCGAGCAAGCTCTTCATATTCCCACTCCACTCATTCAACACATCATCGGAATCCCTGGGCTTAGAGAACGTGACGACGCGCGCAGGTCGATCGATCTTGGCATAGATGGTCTTTGCAGTGACGAGCTCGCTAATGTTCTTCTCCGTCTCGTCCTCGGTCAAATCCAGAAGCTCAGTCAGGCGTGGAATCTGGATGCGTGTGTAGTACTTGGCGACAACGCGGACGTTGTGCTCAATGACACGCTTGCGCAGATCCTGCCACCTCTGGAATGCCTTGGGGTCGTCTGAGTCGTCCTTCTCTGCGTCGAAAACATCGGTCTCTGTCAGGTGGGGGCCGAACTGCTTCGCTACCATGGGCCATCTCATCAGCTCGGGCACGGTGAAGAGCTTGACAAGTTGTGCGTCTTGTGGGATCTGCGAATTTCGCGAGTCGCGTTGGATACGGTGAATGAGGTCCGACTGCTCGTTGTCGTATGGCGCAAGAATAACGAAGTAGATGACACGTTGGAGGACCTGGAAACATTATCAGATATAGCTCTTACGCACATGGCAGCTCGACATACCGCTTGGAGCTTCTTGGGGTCTTGCTCTACCGCCTCAGTGTCAAGAACCTGGCGGTAGTGCTTGCAGGCGTCCAAGTACTTGTCGTCGTGCTTGGCTAGAGTGATCTGCTGCTCATAATACCTAAGCTTGAGATCTGTGACATCATCTTCTGGCTCAATGGGCGGGTCATCGACACTCCTTGTCTTTTCCTTCTCCTCGCGTTCCTTCTGTTCCTTCTCGAGCTGCTCTGCCGACTTCTTTGGTCTCCGCGCAAAGTACTTTGTGCTAATCTTCCTGCTTAGGATACCAGCCTGTGTCCAATCGCCCTTTTCTATGCAGAGTGAGACTTGTTGTAAGATGAACTCGGTCTTCTCTCGTCGGGTCATGGAGCCGAAGGTTTCGACTTGGAGTTCACAAAGGATGTCGGTCGCCGCGTTGATGTCGCCTTGCTCCTTTTTGATGTTGGACAATATTCGAGTAACGCGGGCTCGCTCGACTTCTACAAAGATCTGTGGTCTTGTCAGTAACTTCCTCTCTACAGATTCCAATAGGCGCTCACCTTGCCCTCGGTGACTGTTCGCAACGTCTCGATGACGGATAATTTCGTTTCGAGGTTCGGCGTTTCGTCCAAAAATCCCATGACGGTCTGCACCATCTTGGTAGTGGCCTGCTTGAGCTGTCCATGCTTCTTCGAAAGGAGCAGGACCTGCTCGTTCATCAAATTCCAATCGCCCGCATTCTTGGCTATTGTGACGATGGCGATGATGATTCGGGAGGTGGATGCGAGATCTGATGCCTAGCCGGTGTAAGTAAAGAGTTGCGTGCGCAGGATAGCAAGCTTGTGTACCTGGCGCGTCTTCTTCTCGAGAGTGAGCAGCTGGTCGATTCCAGCTTGTGCATTCTTCTATGTCGTACGTCAGCTTCATATGCTCTACTTCACCAGAATTGCCTTGAACATACTGCGCCTAGCTTTTCGGCCTCTGGAATGGCTGCATCTGCCTCTTTTGTAAAGTCCTTGTCGGCCTTGAGCACCTCTCCGCTTGACATGGTGGCGGGGTGGTGGAGGGTTGTTTATTGCGATGTAGCGGCTTTTTGGGTCACCTCAGGTCTGGCGTATGAGAGAGATGAGAGAAGGGATCGATATAGAGACTTCGATGTGGCGCACTGGTGTTGTTTGGTTATGTACTCCAGCCCATCAGTGATGTAGGGCAGCTCGCGGTACCGGTACACGCATGGACCAATCGCGCTAGGATCAACGATGCGCCGAAGACCTTCAACGACCACGCAGTCGACAGCAATCTCATACTCACAATGCACGTAACATTCTAAGCATCCATAATCAAACCGTTAGATGCCAATTATCGTCTTCTTGTTATCAGCTTTGCATTGCGCCTAGCTATACCTTGAATTACGGCCTTGACAGCCACTTCCATACCCAGGTCCACGCATACCGCCTCGACCACCAGATGTGTTGCCGTACCAACTCGGTGATTGTCCTCTATTCGTTACTACTACCTTCTCGGGAACATATGTGGCGCCGTATTTAACCAACTTCGCCTGTAACATGGGTAGCATGAGACATATGTCCATAGGGATGCCGTTTCCACAAGGTCCCGCCAAAGGACTGTTCACCCTTGATGGCATATACATCATTTGCATATATCCTGTACCTTGCTGGTTGGTTCTTTGCACTCCTTAGCCCATTTTTCTACAATTTTTAAAATTTTGTGCCCATTGGCCCGAAAGTGCTGCTCCACTACCTCCTTACACAGGACAGGCATGTGTTGGGCATAGCGCATCAAACTGCACTTGACCGTGTGTCCATGTAGCATCCGATTCGTACATTGAGATGATGGCTTTTGGCAATGTACAAGAGATGCAAGGCCGGGCTCGTTACCCAAAGGATGCTCGCAAAAGATCATTGCTTGAACACTGATCAATACTTGTAATATTGTGGACTGGCCCGGTTGCCAATCTTCGCCTTTCGCTCCGCTCGTCCATGTTCCGAGAAGCGAGAGACAGACTAGTCTATGTCAGTGCCGAAACACCACTTTGTGCTGAAATGACCTGCCTTTGTCGTCGTGGCGGTGCAAGTTCGGGTTGATCGCCTGTGGACAGGCAGTGGGATACCGAAGGGTCATGTTAGGAGGTCTTTGCGGAAAGTTAGAGCCACAGAAGAGATCAAACTCGTATATACCGTTCTCGTATGGCGTACCTTCTGGTCCAATGATCAAGATGCTGTTCAAGTCAGGTCATTACTACGCAGGTGAGCACTTACATCAGCACTTACCTCATGCCGTCAAGTCTCGACATCGCGTGCTTCACAAAAGTCCCTCCAGGCAACCCTGTTTTGAGCGTTGTTATCTCAGTAATCAGTCTTGTAATTCTTCCTGATGGCGACTCGTGCAACATGTGTGCTTGCGGCGTATAATAATATGTTGGCCAAAGATCTTTGTCTGATATTTCAACAACGAAACCGCGGTTCGCAATCGAGTCACCCGACTGCTGCGCAGACCTCTCGTCGACAAGCCTGAGATCTCTCGACAAAGCCAGAGCATGTCCTGACCTCGCTTATCTTGGAACTCTTGTCGATTATTCAAAGCCCCTCGCATCATTGTATCGCTTTGGATAATCAGTCGCCGCAGGCCGTCAGAAAGTGAAGATGCTGTCTCAGTCGTCCTAGGAGGCGGTCCCTTGAAAGATAGGGTCAGGAGGTTATCATTCTTTGGCAAAACGATTCTTTCCTTGAAGATGACGTCAATTTTGGAAATCTCATGTACGCCCACACGCTTCAGAAAACCGATCAAAGCCATATATAGATCTTTCCGCTGCGTTGCGTTATCCCGGCTGTCATTCCTCAATAGTTCGGCCGGCTTATCGAGGATCTTACTGTGTACCAGCATTGACGTGACGGCCCGGGGAGGATGCACATCGAAACTACTCTTGTCGCGATCATGATGCGGCGAGGGACATAATACCGCAAGAGACGAGAAAACCGCCTCATCGAAGTGATCAGACATTCTTTCTGCGCTCTCGGCCTGCTCCTTTTGGGCATCTTGCCCTGCTGAACCTCCCCGCTGCCGACCATGCAACCCGTACATGCCGCCACCAAAGCCAACAGTATATCCCACCCCATTTTTGGCAAATTTTGACGCAGTCTGACCACTGGTTGATGCTTCGCGGAGTTTTCTGTCACAGTATACCTGGTCGAAGCCGCAGAGCATGATCCAGATAATGAACAAGCGGCCGCGACTACAACACCAGCTCATCTTGGTACTTCCTGCATTGCGTTGGATCGGCGTGCCTGATCGGCCGAAACACACAATACACGCCGATTTCGAGCAGGTTTTGAACTGGATCTGACACGCTGACACGATATTGCTAAAAGCTTAAATCAGATAATGTCCTTTTCACGTATGACCATCAACTCACGAGTCTTGTTAAGCCAGCTCTGGAATAACAACTCGACTTCTTTGCTGCTGCAGAGGAAGGTTGTGTTGCATCCAGGGCATTTTCTGCCAGCAAGGTAGGTCACAAAGTCACTGTAGGTGTCGAAAGATGGGGCTCCACTTGCTTGTGTAGGTGCTGCGTTTTGTGTAGAGGCTGCCCTTGGTATCAGCTTAGATGTCTTGAAAAATAAACCGTAGACAGTACTCACACGACCCTGCGGCGTAGTACTTGTTGTTCATTTGGATGGTCCTTGTGGTTACGAGAGGTTTTCTCCCTCGGTGGATCTGGGGGAAAACTGAGAAGTCTATATTTGTAGACAAGTTTCATGGCTGGATTCTATTCACAAAAGAGGGATTCACATGATACAGCGTCATTCAGTCATTATGTGGCATGTGTGAACATATGTATTTGAATGCTGTGTACTGTAATTACACGCGAAATTCCATCTCCCGCGCATCACAAGAACGCCAGCTCCAACTCTAGCTTCATAAAGTAACACCCTCCCTATCAACACCGCCATCATTGACAGTCCTCACAAACACTCCCATCAGGATTTCTCTTCACTGCCGCCCCACCCATTTTCCCAACCTCAGCTTGCTTCTTCTCTGCAACCTCTACACCGCCCTTCCCCAGCTCCTCCTTCTTCTTCCCCACCACCACACCCGCCTCATCCACAGCAGCCTTCGCCTTGCCGCCTTTATCCGAATGTCCCAAGTCACGAGACGGATCGATATGATCTCTCAATCTCTGTTTCAAAACTTTTGTCTCTGAGATATCGTTAGCCTGGGGCGTTTTCTCTACCGCCCCCATTTCTCAAACAAGCACTGAACATGGTGGAGCAGGAAAAAAGGGCCAAAACAAGAAATAGTACCTGTGCGGCATGGATTTGACGAAGGAAAAGAAAAAACTTACCAGGAAACCCACCCTCAGCCTTGCGATCCCAGATTAAAACCTTCTTCACCTGGATTTTATCTTCACCTTTGCTTGTCCCTTTACTTTCAACCTCGCCTTCGCCTTCACCTCCCCGCCCCTCTCCATCCACACAATACATCAACTCCACCTCGAACAACCCACCCGTACACGGTATCAACGCAATCTCTCCAATCTGCGTGCCAAACGTCGACAGCAATTCCTGGCCAAACTAGGGTGCGAGATTTGCATCAGTAGTGTGCTTTGGTGTTTTGTGGATGCGGAGAAAGTGCGTGGGATGGGGTGGTCAGATGGGAGGGTTCCATGTACGATTACAATCACACTTGTAGAAGAAGGCGGAATTCGAGGACCACAGTCCAACCAACAGACCATCAAACAAGAAACCTCGACGGAAAATAAAACGAATAATGTAGACGACACAGTGAAGATACAACAAAACCGCAAAACTTACATAAGCAGCCCGCAGCATCCATCTGCACTGCGTACAGTACGAAATCGCGATGCGCGGGAGATGTACGGGTGCGGACGTCGAGTGCAGTGACGCCATTTTTGGGGGTTCTTTTTTTTTTCTTGTCCGTTTTGGCGGGGATGGGGTGGGGGAGGATGGATCAGGGGGTTTTCATATACTATCTCTATCTTGCGCCTGGGAAAATGAATGGAAATGTTATACCACACGATGAGAGTGACGTGCCTGAAGAGTGAGCGGATAAGCAAGTGGAGAATTGAGTCTAGTTAAGGCTGATTCGATGGGGTACGTACTTGTCTTATCGATAACCGCAGATGATTTGCGTCATGTAGTTTACCTGCCATGTCACTGTGCCCTTCACTTTTCGCATTTTAAATTTATTTGACTGGGTAGAGGACATGTGCTTTATTATATTCATTTAGCTCACGCTCAGCTGCAAGAGTGTGGTATCAAGCTACGCGCAGAGATTTGCCGGGTTTTCATTATTTCTAGCCTGGATCCAGCCGTCTCATACATCCAGATGGTCCGGTTCTTATGCTTAC